ACGTCATGGTGGAAGTTCGTTGGAATGTATGGCATACCGTCTTGGAAGGTACAGTCACTGTCAAAAGTTTGTAAAATTCAAAGACTAGGATGATTTGAAATTCACAAGAAACACTGATTTCAGGGTTGTATTCTTAGCCGCTCCTATTCGACTTCGTCCTTTCAAACGCCTTTTTTGGCCATGGCCTCCCTGTTTTTCTTCCTGTTCCTGTTTAATTAATCTGAGGTATCCTTGGTTTCTCCTTCTGATACAACAAAAGCGACTATGTTTCTACAAGAACTAAGTTTTCTACTTCAACTGCATTTGCTTGCTATTCAATATTTTTATTCGGTGTTCATGTTTTCTCACGTTTCCCTTTACCTGGGCTAGTTTGCCTTTGATATCCCCAATCTGGGTAGATACCACCTCCAACAAGTTATCGATTTCGTTATTAGAAATTTGTTGTTCTTCGCTCATGCTACGATTTTATCCCTGTCGTGGCAACCACGCATTTTTTTTTTTGAAAAAAAAAATGGTTAGAAAAGCTTTAAGATATCTGAGAAGCAGTTTGTCAAGCTTGTAAATTCAAACAGCAACCTCTATTTTTGACAGCAGATCCGTGTCAAGCTTCGTCTCAGATTAACGCAGTAACACACTGTATAGAAATGTGAAAATGAAAAGAAATAAACCGAAGACAGATAAATAAAATATTGACAAAAAAGTGTTATGTACTGAAGATCACCGTAGTGACCGAAACAATACAATAAAGAATAATTTTAGACACACGGGTTTTTACTGGCCAGACAAACATGGGAGATTATAATAATGTTATGGAATGGATTTTATAGTTAATGTACCTCCTAGGATCACTTCCACGTCACATACATGCCTTGATAATTTTATAACTAATATTCAGTCTAACATTGTGGTATCTGTTCAAAACTGCTGTATCTCAGATCACTATTGTCAGATAATAAGTATTGATGTTTGTGGACAACCTTCAAAAAAAAGTAGTTTTCTTGCATTAGAAACTTCTCTGAAGAAAATATAAATATATTTCGTCAAAAATTATTCCATGAAGATTGGCTGGAAATCTACAATGAAAGTTCTATTGACGCCGCGTTTGAAGCCTTCCATAACATTTCCATGTACTATTTTACTTTGTGCTTACCTTACGAACGTATAGAGATTACAAAAAGCCCAGGAAAACCTGTTTTAACACCAGAACTGATAAACTTAAGGAACATGGTCACATTATATCAAACAATGGCGGAAAGGGATGTCAGATATAGGGAAATCAGTAGACGTTTAACTAAATCATACAGAGAAAAATTATCTCTATCGTTTTTAATTAATTTGTCATGTGAGCAAGGAAAGTTTCCAAGCTTTTTAAAACTAGCATTAGTTATACCAATCCATAAAAGAAATTATCCCAATGACTATGCTAATTACAGAAGCATAAGCCTGCTATCAAGTTTTTCAAAGGTTTTTGAGCTTAATATGGAAAAACAACTGGTAGATTTTTACAGTATAAATATTCTGATCTCGGAAAATCAGCATGGTTATATCAATGGTAAAAGTACTGAAAACTGCACTGTACAGTTCTACTGATTACGTAATCACAGCCCTTGATAAAAACAACATATACTAAGTGACATATAAATCCGAACACTCAGTTTAAATGGTTTTATATTAATAAAAGTTGGTGAATGTATTTATCTTACTATAAATAACAAGTGAAAAAATTTTCAGCCTTATCAGTTGGAGATTCCGATTTTTATACTGCTTTTTTTTAATTCACTAACGCTCTAAAAATGAATATTTCAGCCGCAGTAAAGAATCAACGTTGGCGGATTTTGGTTCTTGACATCGTTTACGATCGGTTACGATGCCTAGAGTACGGAGACCTGTACGATTTCGTCAACTTAGTGAGTTTGATAGGGGAAGCTGGACTTTCTTTTCGGGCAATTGTAGTTAGAGTGCAAAGAAGTGTAGACACTGTGGTTAGGTGTTGTCAGGCATGGCTTCGAGAAGGCCGTACGCAAAGAGCAAGGGGCACTGGACGCCGCCGTAGAACAACAGACCGTGAAAATCGCCACCTAAGATTATTGGCCTTAAGGGACCGTTTCTCCACTACCAGGTCCATTGCAAATGAATGGTTTGCGGAACACGGAAGACCTATTGGCATGCGAAGTGTTTACCGACGAATGAGAAGTTTTGGCTTGTTTTCATACCGGCCACACTGGGTCCTCCCTTTATCTCGACACCGACGTAATCGCCTTGAGTGGTGCAGACAACGGTCACTCTGGGATCAGGAATGGAACAGTATTATCTTTAGTGACGAGTCTCGATTTTGTTTAGGCATGCAAGATGGTCGTGCCAGGGTTAGAAGGCGACGTGGTGAAAGGAGGAATCCACAGTTTTTTTTTGAAAGACATGTTCATCACACTGTTGGAGTTATGGTTTGGGGTGCTATACCTTATGGTTCCAGGTCACCTTTAATCTTCATCAGAGGTAACATGAACGCGGAGCGTTATATCCACGAAGTTCTAGAACCCCATCTTTTACCCTATCTTGATACTCTGGCAGTCACAATAGACTTCTTTCAACATAATGGTGTCACATTGTTACCATGGCCACCAAGATCTCCCGACTTATCCCCAATTGAGCACGTGTGGGATATGATGGGTAGGAGATTGCTCAATTTGCAACGTCCTCCTCAGACTCTAGAAGCACTTCGAGAGGAGTTGGTGGTTGCCTGGAATGAGATACCACAGGAGGACATTGACCACCTGATCAGAAGCATGCCTAGGCGCGTTGGAGAATGCGTAGCACATCAGGGTGCATCCACACATTATTAAAGGTCAAAGGGCTTCAAAGCAGTGCAATCTTTTTGAAATTTTTATCATTTACTTATTATGCTTCATTAAGTACTTATACAAAATTTTATTAAAATAAAACCATTTAAACTGGGTGTTCGGATTTATATGTCACTTAGTATATTTTGTGGATTTTTCTTAGACTTCTCCCGCGCTTTCGATTATGTTGATCGCGAGTTGCTGCTGTATAAGTTGTGCAGATATGGAGTTCGGAGATTGCCATTACAACCTTTTTAATCATACTTTCAAGGAAGAAAGCAATATGTCCGTGTCAATGATGCAAGTATGTGACGGTTATTGATGCAGGTGTTCCCCAATGATCGTCCAGTATGCACAGCCGCTCAAAAATGGTCGGTAAATAATGGCCTTATATTAAATAAAGAAAAAATTGAAACATCTTTTTCTGTTAAGTTGTTGGGTATTACCATTGATTGTCATCTAACTTGGGAGCCACATGTTGAAATGCTGTGTCATAAATTACGTAAACTTGCTTACGCTATAAAATTTTTATCAAATCACTGCAGTAAGCAAGTTTTACTTACTCTATACTATTCAAGCTTCAACTCTCACTTGCGCTATGGCTTTTTAAGCTGGGGATGCTGTTCATTGATAGTTAGAGTATTTCTTCTCCAGTAATATGTTACAAAATAATTTAAAATCTTGATTGGCGTGAATCTTGCACGGATTATTTTCGATCCTTAAGAATTTTAACAGTAGCTAGTATTTACGTTTATGAATCATCAGTATTTGTGTATAGACATAAACTGAACCTTTTCAATAACAAAGAAGTACATGGGTTGTAAAATATTCAATAATTTAGGAGATGATATTCAAAAAGCAACAACATTAAGCAGTTTTAAAACTCAGCTGAAATCATTTCTAACAGCTAAATGTTTCTATAGCTTGGAAGAGTTCTTTGCATCCAAAAGTGATTTTTAATCTGTATTGTATTGTTTTGACTTTTGATTTGGCTATTTAACAATGAAATAAATGTATTATTACTATTATTATTATAATTAATGGAGTTGCTATTTCAATTTACAGACTTGACCTCCAAATGACCTCTAAGGTCATCGCCTAGGTCATCTTTCAGGTCCGATTTGCCGGTTATTCTGGTATTTTCAACATAGCGGAATCAGTATTATAATTGATCCACTACCAAAATCAAGAAACTGAAGAGTACTGAAACAAGACCGTTTTTCTCAAAAACAACTCGCTTCATCAAAGTTCGACTAGAGTATTCATATTCAGTCCAAAGATAAGGATTTCTTGAAGCGTTATCGTTGAACTATTATTATACAGGGTACAGAAAATAGTAATATTGTGTTGGGGCTAGTCTGTCACTGGTGAAAAATGAGTTTTTTCTATGGTGCTATTTTGTATAGGAGCCTATCGCATCATTTTTTGTGTTTTATGTACATCGGATCTTAATTAAAAAAAACACTGCATGTTGGCGGTTCTGAATACATCAAACTAGGACGGCGACTGAATTGATAAAACACCTCAATTTCATCTCCATGTACTTTCGGACTGGTTTATCGATAAAAGCTTCATGTTGCCTATTCAGCAATCCCGTAAAAAGGCTATTATATACACATGGAGGCTCGGCTTTATATGCTTCCCCTTTTGTCGTACCCTGACTGAGCTGTATAGAATATCTAATTAGGATATGAAAGACCGCTTACTTCCATAAGTGCCGTCCTCCTGAGAGAGTCGAGCTTGGCCGCGTTTTCACGCAAAACAAGCATCGCGTCATGTAGGTACTTGGTTACTTGCTATCGAGCGAGGGCGAAGACCGGTGCGGTAGAAACTGATGGCTTCTCCTTGATAGGGCATCCTCTGTTTTTAGTAGGAAAAGAAATAATGCACAAGGTATACATTCCAATTATACAATTGCACAATAAAAACGGAAAAACTCAAAAAGATAAATTTGTGCAGCGCATTAACCGATAGCTAAACATTTTGAAAGATAAAAAAGCTGACTAAGTGACACTGAAAAATTAAACAGACACCTAATAATGTTACCTATTAAAATCAACGTTATGATGCAAAGTACCCATTGGTAGAAACATTAAGATAGTTCTAAAATGAAAAAGACAACAGAGATAATATAAAAAAGGAAACATATTAAAAAGTAATTAATTAGAAGGTAGGTACGAGGGATGTCTTTTAAGTTTTGCATATGGAAATAAAACAACACGGTAGGTAGTTTTAAATGACTTTATTGTTTTTCGAAATATTCTCCACGAAGATTAATACACATCTGCATGCGCTCGAACCAATTTTCGAAGCACTTATTCCACTCGTTTGCTGGCAGATCCAAAACGGCATTTTTGAATGCGTCAACTGCTTCTTCTGGTGACTGGAACTTTTGACCACGCAGTCTGTTTTTAATTTTCGGGAAAGTAAAGAAATCGTTAGGACTTAGATCGGGACTGTATGGAGGATGGTCCAATAATTCTACGTTTTCTTCCGTTAAATACTGCCTTGTTTTTTGGGCTGTGTGCGAGCTTGCATTGTCTTGTTGGAGGATGATTCTTCTTTCGGGGTTGATTTTTCGAAGCTCGGTGATGACTTTTGGCAAACAAATGGTGGTATCCCAATCTGCAGTAGCAGTTCTTTGCTAATTAAGAGGAATTGTTGCAATATGACCTGCTTTTGACACAAATATCGCGACGATCTTTTTTTAAACATTTCGAGAACGGATGACTTTTGTTGGATTTTCTTCACCTTGGAACACCCAAACAGCCGACTGTCGATTATTTTCTGGTTCATAACAGTAAATGTACGATTCATCACCACTAACAGTGCTGTACACATTTTTTGAGTTTCCGGAATTGAAACGGTCAAGCGTTTTTTGACACCAATCAACCCTGGCTGCTTTCTGCTCTTCAGCCAACAGGTGGGGAATCCAACGAGAAACTAATTTTCTTACTCCTAATTCTTCATGTGAAATTTTTTGAATTGAGGTCTTTGAGATCTTCAAGGACGCCTCAATCTCGCTATATGTCACTTGTCTATCTTCAATGATGAATTTGCGCACAGCATCGATGTTTTCCTGGGTGACTTCCGTTTTTGGTGCACCCACCCTGGGAACGTCGCTAAGACTCACCCGTCCACGTTTGAATTCTCCATACCAGCGGGAAATTGTCGACTGATGTGGCGCTTCGTTGCTGAAAACGGACAGTAACTCAGCAAGGCATGATTGTTGCGACAATTGTTTCTGAAAGTTGTAATAAATTATGGCGCGAAAATGTTCTCGGTTGAGTTCCATTTTTCTAATGACCTGGTGACACTTCAAAATTCACTGTAGTGAGAACACTGCACGTATCGTTGTGAAACTTTGAATTTAAGTTTACTAAAGAGTGAGGTTTAGATTTAGTACTGACGTTCGATACGCGCGGCATACTATGTTTCTATATGCAAAACTTACAAGACATCCTCGTATCATGACAATGAAGTCAGACTTGTACGCACTCGACTATATTTAAGATGATTCAGTCAATTTCCAATTGATTGATTTGTAATGGCTATAACCATTACTTTATTGCGACAATCATGAATAACTGTCCTGGATATTTTAGGTATCCATTGTTTAATTTTTTCTTGAATTGGTTCACAGAGCTTAACAATTGACATTCTGAAAAAATACAGTTAAATGGAAAATTAAGTAAATCCTGAAATCTCAAATCTTCATGGATGCAGAACTTTATCAAAGTCGAAATAAGACAGCACAAGGCGCTATCTATCATGCCATAATGGTCCGCCGCGAACAGCGCATAGCTGCTATTATATATATATATATATATATATATATATATATATATATATATATATTATATATAGTTGGAACTGTCAGGGATCTCAGATCGCGTTTAATAGCCCAGTCACCACATGACCGCTAGATGGCTGACGATTCAACGATTCTGACAGTCAAGTAGATGTGGTCTACTTGCCATTGAACAAACCGAACATGATGCTTTCGTCCGTCCGACCATAAAGACAGTCAACCATGGATAGCTGTTTTATGCTTCTTGGCTATTCGTCAGCATAGTCTAGGCTTGGTCTTTTGTCTCTGGACATCGCAACTATCCTCTATTTTTACAGACATTTACAGCTTGAGGCAGCATAACTTTAGTAAAATTGAAACATTTTAAAAGACAAAAGAGCCGACTAAGATCACATTGTTACTGAAACCAATCGTTATGCGATTCAAAAGAAATTCCAAAAATAGACCCCAGTAACTGCTGGTGAAATGAGAGTATTTTTGGGGCTTATAATTCTTCAAAGAATTATAAAAAACCTGAAATGAAGCAATACTGGTCTAAAAATCCTTTATTACTGACTCCTTTTTTTGCAAAATGCCTGAGCAATAAAAGGTTTGAAGCAGTCATGTCAAATCTACATTTTGCTGATAACGAGACCTTTGACGCTGAGCACCACCCAAACCCAAAGCTAAATAAGATATGGCCGATATACGACAAGTTAGTGAATACATTTCGAGTTACAGTTACTCCAGAGAAACATGTGGCAATTGACGAAAGTATTTTATTATACAAAGGTAGACTTGGCTGGATCCAATATATTCCTCTGAAGAGGCATCAAAACATATATGCGGCTATGTATGGAATTTTATTATTTATACGGGGAAACATAAATCTGGAGCAAGAGTATGTTGATCTTCTAGTTTCATCGCAGGTAGTTATGATGCTGTTCAGGGATCTGCTAAGTCAGGGCTATTGTATTACTATGGATAATTTTTATAATTCTCCACAACTAGCGGATTTATTGTTGAGCAAGCAAACGGATGTTTATGGAACAGTAAAATTGACACGAAAGGAGGTTCCTAGGGAGCTGAAAGATAAGAAATTGAAAAAGGGCGAAGTATTTGGATTCCAAATAGGTAAAGTGTCTCTGATCAAGTGGAAAGATAAAAAAGACATCTCTCTTATTTCCACTGTTCATACAAACAAGTGTGTCGAGGTAGAAACACGAAGGGAAAAAAATCAAACCAAAAGTGGTTGTGGACTATAACGATACCATGGGTGGAGTGGACCGAGTGGACCAGCACTTGGCTGACTATACCTTACCAAGAAAAAGAGGTAAAACATATTATAGAAAAATATTTTTCCACCTTTTGGATTTAGCCCTATGGGACTCTTTTATAATATATGTAAAAACGGGCGGAACAAAATCAGCACTTGTATACCGATTGGAGCTTATAAAGCAAAATAATGGAAAAATATCATCAAACTGAGTTTACTCCACAGGACGACCTTCAACCCAGCTCACTCCGCTTCATCTGACAGGACGACATTTTCCAGATCTTATTCCAGCTACTGAGAAAAAGAAAAATCCAACCAGGCAATGTGGAATTTGCAGCAGGGCTCGAGATGAACGCGGAAATAAAATTAGAAGAGAAACCAGATATTACTGTGCAGATTGCGAAACCTCCTTGTGTGTGACTCCATGCTTTAGGATTTACCACACAGTTGCAAATATTTAAAAAAAATGTTTTTTTTTACTTACTTACATATAATTTTTCAGTTTTAGATGTGTTACCTTAGGTTTGTTCCTCAAATAAATATTTTTTTTGTTGCCCGAGTTAACTCGGGTAAGCACATGTATAAAAATAAATGTTTTTTCACAAAAATTCAGGGTTTTGTTTAATTTTTAACTCTAGAAAATAAAAACTTTCGATTTAGTTCAAAATAAGAAAATAAAAAAATTAGATTTTTTTACCAATTTTTGAGGAAAAACTAGATCGTTAAGCGGTTAATTTTCTCCATCAACCGTCAGGGATGTAGCTTATTTTTGTTGGTATCCATCTAAGCTTTCGCTTCATGACGCCTTTCTGTTCTCCGAGTACCAAATTGGCTCTTCAAACTTGGCAATGAGAATGTATATTGCGTCTATACCTCCAGGTTCGAGAAACCTGAGTTGGTTCCAGAAAGGATCATATGTTTTATTGAGTTTTTAGCAATATTCATCGTGTAAACACGATAGGCAGTAAACAACGCGCGAGCGGGTCCAATTTAATTTTGAAATTGTTTGCATTGGAGTGGAGATAGACAGAGATAAGCCGTTCGATGCAACTGTTGTAATCTCAATATGAAACCCATCAGTAACTGGATGGAAAAAGTTTTGAAATACAGTCCATGATTTAAAACAGAGTATTTTGAAAGCTTCAGAGCGGCGAATCTATGAATTTATCACTCACATAAGCGTAGTTGCTAGATGCTAACGCTAATGGTCATAGATAAAAAGATAGTAGAAAATAACATAGGAGCGAAAGAGTACTTGGCTGATATGATAAATGACTATCTGGTAATTTCCAGGCCGACTTAAGACATTACGCTTTTTAAATAACTTCACAAAAAACTATAAACGTCCAATACGTTGTCCGTAAGGAAAGTTGATGACTGAGGACAAGAGACGTGTAATTATGCCACCTTATAAAATAGAGTAGCAATGATAATGTGCAATTTATTTTCAAATCCTACCTTGAATAAAGTCAAAAAGAATTGATTTTGGGCAATTACGTTTCTCTTTCCGTCTATTTCTGGAAATACTATGTTTTTCGGAAGCTTTAAAAGTGCTATTTTCTAAGTTACCTGAATGCGTAACTTTGTCCCCATTTGAGTGACTGCGACTCTTTACGTTTCCGAGATTCTAATAGTACGAATATAATTTGAAACACCAGGTATAATGATATATTCAGATTCAAAGTACTTCCGGAAAGAGACGGTAAAAACTGATTTTTCCCAAAACTTTTAATTTTTTAATAATTGTAATGGGATTTCAAAATATATTGCCTTTCAACATTGCCACTTTCTCTCCTCTAGAAAATAATTAGAATTGCAATATGACGTTTCGTCTCTTGTCCTCCAGCATCAAGTTGATTGGATTTTTGCGCGGAAGAACATAATTTTTAATACTGATTTCAAAAATGTAGAATATGTCATATTTTGACATTGCCAACCCTTAGTTATTCCAGAAAGACAGAGTTACCTAAGTAGGCCTTGAAATTATCAGATTTCGTTTGTCCAGACATAGTAACAGAGCTTGGAACACTGAAAAGAAGAGAAATAAATGGAGCAGTGAACAATATGTATTTATGTACTTATGATTATCGTTGTTTTTACATCACATCAATAAAATGTTCATTTTGTGTTCAGGTTTCACCATACCTTTTATTCCCTTATACTTTTTATCCAACCACAAATTCATGGCCAACTAAGGAAATCACTATCACAGAATCTCGGACTGAAAAGTCCATTTCAATGTGTATAACGTCCATATGAAAAAATAAAGTTGGTGATGCAAGTCGAAAGAAAAAATGTCTAATTGAAAATAGCAATAACAACGTGCAATTTATTTTGAATTCCCATCTTAAATAAAGTTAAGAAAAAAAAAAGTGATTTTGTGATAAATTTGGTATGCGAAACAAATGAATATCTGATTCATTGCCTCACTAGAAATATCTGCTTTTTTGAAATAACTAAGGTTTGGAAATGGAAATGGTTGACTCATTATACATTTTTGGATTCAGGATTAAAAACTCTGTTCATCTAAAATAAGGTGATGCTAAAATTGATCCATCTTGTGAAGGAGAAAAAGTGGAAATTTCAATGTGCAAGTTAATTTGAAATCCCACTACAAATAAAGTCGTGAAAAAATAAAAATGATTTTCGGAAAATTAAGTTTTTTCCGTCTCTCTTCGGAAGTACCTACATTGAGTTTCGAAACTTTCTAAGCGGCATTTTGTTGATTACCTAAATACTCAACTTTGTCCCTACTTAAGCAGTTACATATCTCTTACAGTTTCCGAGATCCCAATGGTAAAGGTAGAATTTGAAATACCTTGTATAAACAGTCGAAAATCAATTTTCCAGATTTTTCAATTTTAGTGATTTTTTGACAATCACCCAAAACTAAACACTCAAATTATAAAAAAAACTGTGTAAGTAGTACTGGTCGAATATTAAACCTTTAGGCATACAAGTTTGATAGCACTGTTCTGTTGGTCTTTTCTGTCCGACGTGTGATGGGGCCTGAGTTAGCGTGTCGAGCTACGAATCGGTCAACCTCAGGCTCTCGGGTTCGAATCTCCACCTCGGCCAGAAGCGAATTCGGAGCCATGGAGGTTGTGTTGGGTGTTTTCTGTATCACACACCTGATCGGTGAAAGATCAACATCTCATCATCGAACTACTTGCAGCATTTCATCATGGTGGGTAAAGTTTCGTCCTTCTTATGGAGTGTACTTTTTTACTTAGCCAGTAAATCAATCGGCGAAACACCAGCCACCACCAGCAATACATCTGTGGATAGATTACGCGCAGTACGACCTTTCCATGGTTTTTGAGCATTAGCTGCCTGTATTGCCTCTTTGTCAAAGTATTGCCGTGGATAGCGGTTCCAGTCAAGTCAGCCAAGATCCTGCACCTCTCGCAACTGCATCCCTTAAATAGCATTAGCCCAAACTACTGAGATGTTGGCAGTTGTATCCGTGTTAAATATTTGAACTGAACACATAAAGACAAGTAGCTTTGTAGAAACAAGCAAAAGACAATCAAAAGCATTCTCGTAATAAAGGAAAAGGAGCAGAAATAGGTTTGGTAACTCGAGCGCTGTCCGTTTCTGCTTATTGGCTTCACCAGACACAAACGGATGTGCATCGAAGAGGCAATAAGCAGAAACGTTGTCGTTTGATTTGATCTAAGTTTCCGCGAAACGACAAAGGCAAGTACTTTCTTTTTATATACTCATGAGACTGTAGTACCGCAGTAAGTAGCTATGACTGACCTCCGTGGCGACGTTAGCTGAAACCTTGTAATCACTAGGTTCTCAAACCGAAGCCACAAATGTGCCTGCTCACTCTTGTTGGTGGCTTCTGATTCATTTCCCGCCATCCTCGTTTTCCTTAAGGTTACACTTGCATTCAGATGTTATGGGCATATGTTTTCGCTCCGGCGCTTTTGATGCACATTAGTTTAGGCCCGATGAAGCCAATAAGCAGAAACGTACGGCGCTTGGGTTACCAATCCTTCTATTTCTGCTCCTCTTCCTTTATTGGGGACATGCCCACGACTGACATTTGTTTTTGTCAACAAATTTCATATCGTATCGTTCGGTCATAAGGAGGTTATCCTATAAACGTTCCTTCATGATTTTGTCACTTTCTATGTCTGTTACGTTCCATGTTACCGCCGAAGACTCCACATCGGTTGCATCTGTTCAATTAGACAACCTAGTAAGACAGCTCATTCGTTAATAGTCAAGCGAGAAACACAATTCCACAGATCTTACTAATTCAAAACTTTTATTAGCAAATTATCCTTAACATGCGTGTAGCAATCGCAGTACTGCTATATTTAGCTTTTGCCTTAATATCTGCTTTAATATAATTAGCGAATTATATGGGACAGCATGTGCTGAATAATAATTGCATTGAAGTAGTGAAAAACTGAGAGCCATAATTCGACGTTCTCTTCACATCATAGAGGAGCTTTTAATTCCAAAGCTGACGAGGAGTGGATATTAGATTTATTACATGTACTATACATCAAGAAAAATATGTCACTCATTTTCGTCGGTTTGTTTGTCTCTCTGTCTGTCGGCTTGTCCGCTAATTTTATAACTTGAGAGGTACTGCTCGGATTTTGATGAAATTTTCACACAAGGTTACTTCTGTGCCAAGGATAAAAAAGCTTTGTCGTTTTTGGAAATCGGTCAAGTGGTCGCGGAAGCTAAAAGTAAAAACTTGAAAAGAATAAAAATCACCTTAACTTACGTTTCAGAGGCTCCTGATCATTTTCGGAAAAACATTTTGAGGGGTTGAAACTTGGGGGTTGGGGATTGTAAGGGGTAGGGGTTTGTAAATGTTACGTCTTTAGTATTAGTCAAAGACACACCGCTGCAGGAGAAATATTTATATATTTTAGCGATATTTGGATATTAGGAGTACGTACCATTTTAGCGATTCTGCGATGCTTTTGTAAATGATGACTTAACTTTTTTTATACCCACGTATTTTTCAGAATTTTTTGTGTTAAGTGTCTAACCTTTAGTTTGTGTTACACCGTCTATGATGGCTCTCTGAATGTTTCGTCATGTAGATTGACTCAGTACTTGCAACGCATTGACATACAACAGACACGGACTGACCAACCGACATAAATGAAAAACACGGACTTGCAGGTATCTTTAAGCAACAGGAAACTTGTGAACCGAAGTTCGAATATTATCCTAATTTTAATACTTCCATCGATTAGGTAGTCGTATATTTTGAAAAATTATTCAGAGGCGTCGGGAACAAAATCTCTGGAAACTAGTGGTACTTCGTTTCAGATTCCTGCGCATTTTCAGACATTGTTTGGAGAGGACAAAAATTGCAGGTCTGCCCTGAAAACAGAAGTATGACCGATTTGCTTTGTATAGATTGATATGCAGAGATCCAGGACTCATCTTACCTAAGTGAACCTGCCTAATCACCATTAGAGTTCTCTTTTTATTTATTTGTTTATGTATTTTACTTTTATTTATTTATTTATTTATTTACACCACCAACAGATAAACCAATTATTGGTGGTAGAACAGAGGTTTACATAGTACAAACCTGAAGCAATTAATATGCCTGTACATAAGAAATATAACAGTCACAAAACTACACAATTATATAACAGATTTGAAGAGGATCTTAATAGAGGTCACATTTGTATTAAATATATCAATTCTGTTTTGTAAATTGTTTAAAGAGGTACACATGGAATACATGGGACAATGCAGCCGTAAGTTGGTCCTGCGGGTTTGGATCGATTTGACTCTCTTCCCTTTTTTGAAACATCCAATGAATGCATAGGAAGTATACAGTCATTCTACTCCGGCGCCACTTTTCTAGAGCTGACAGCTCAACTCGTGGATAATTTATAGCGAGCTTGAGAATCAAACAGCCAAACCTGGCGTGCAGCAGTAGAGGCAGTAAAGCGGAAAGGGCCGGATTTATTTATTAACACACTAATAAAGGTGCGCAAATTGGCGATAATGCTGGCTCATCTGGCGGCTTAAGGGAGTCGTTTACCCGTTAGTGCCTGGTCAGGCGATTGGCGAAAGCTGTTCAGGCAAATTACATGATTACTCATTCAACAGGTTCAGAAATTGTTACTCAGAACCCTGCCATTGAAAAATTGTGTACGAGTATACGGTGGCTACTGGTTAAGACTTTTGTTTCTCAAACAAATGCACCATTCAATTCTATGTTCAGTGGTATAGATTCATTATTATTGATCAATACGATTAACTAATGAGAACCCGCCTTAATAAACATGCGTTTTTTGTCACTCAGTGTAATTATATGATCGAACGAACTTATCTGTAAGTGGTGTTCGATCCTAGTTATGTGAAGGTCTCGTCGAAGTAACTAGTTCCCTCCATTACTATGTATCACCCAATTGTTGGAACAACTTGGATTTGTAGAAAATTAGAGCTTGTAGGCGAACAGAGAGGAGGAAGGAAGGGGGAGCGGTGAGCTACTTACCTTCGCTGCGTGCGCGCCTCAAATTCGTGGGTTTGGTGTAATACGAGGGTACTACAAGTAGTATTCACTTCGCCGAGACAGTCACATAATTAGGAGGTAAGTTCGTTTGATCATACAATTATTTAGTATCATTCAAAATATCCCATATCGGCAAGTAACATACCATTTTGACGGATCTGTTAACGTTAGATATGTAGAGAGAATCGAATTTTAATGTTATTCTTGAAACTTATCATGTGATTTTCATGATCATAAAACTCCATGGTCTGGCCGAATCAAACCACATACATGTTTTAATTTCTCTTTATTGTACGATGCCTTTCTCACTGTACTTGAAAAAGGCCACTATGGTGGCCGAAACCTCGTACAATAAAAAAAAATCAAAACATGTTTGGTTTGATTAGGCCACACAATGGAGTCCTATAGAGCCGTGTTTTGTTGTATTTTTTGTATGTAAATGTAAAATTGTCGACCCATAAAGAAAACATCCAAAATTTGTTTGAATTACGTTATATTGATGATCGTCAATCAATCAGAAACTGGTGTAATTTTTGCAGGTTAAATTACTGTTACGTAAAGGACAATGTAGTATGTTTATCTCGTAATCAGGAGAACCTAGAGGCGGCATAATAATTTTCTAACAAATATTTTTCTTAATATACTTCGTATATTTTATTTTACAAGTTCCCAGTCAGTGAAAGAATGTATGGGGGATAATCGTCAGTGTTTGATGTAAATATTTCTGAAAACGGTCCTGGGTTTCACCGCATTCATTATTAAATTTAAATCAAAGATGTCACTTGCTGATATATATACAGGGTGTCCGCAAAGTTGGGGTTTTCCTTTACACGACGTGTAGATCTTGAAAACATAAGCAATTTTTCTTAGTACCATATACACCAATGTCTTAAGGGAACCGAGATAAAGGGCTTTGCAACATCAAAAATATCTGAATACCGTCCTGTAGCCGCGACCCGCCGGGATATCCCCGACTTTTACAAGGTCTCAACCCGACGGCAGAACTTTGTCGGGGTCAGTGTGTCAGGTTAGTATGTAACCTTCAACCGACGGTTACAGTCACGCGTGTAGAGGTAAAAGAACTCGTATAATCGATTGCGTTTCAAAAAACAACAAGCACTAGAGACGTGGCTAGAGAAGTGCAAGTATCAAAAACTAAAGTGTGGCAAACGCTGCGTGAAGAGGGGCTGTATCCGTTTCACGTCCAACGTGTACAAGCCCTTCAACCTGACGATTTTCCAGCAAGAGTGCGGTTTTGTGAGTGGTTGTTGCATCAAGATGACAATAATCCGGACTTTTTGAAGTGCATATTGGTGACAAACGAATTTACGTTCACGCGTAATGGGTGAATAACTTTCGCAACACTCATGTTTGGTCATTTTCAACAAACATTTTCGGTGAATGTTTGGGCTGGCATGGTGAACGGTATGCTCATTGGACCATTTATTCTCCCAAATCGATTGGACGGGATGCAATACCTAGACTTTTCACGCAACAGTTTGCCTTCCTTGTTAAAAGATGTGCCATTAAGTGTAAGACAATCAATATGGTTTCTGCGTCTGCTCGGTAGCGCTTCAGCTGATTTCATTTTCTGTTGGAGCGGTATGATTTCGGGCAGAGACGTACTTAGCCCTTCTCGTCAACTGGAGAGTGAGTACTTTTTCCTTTATTTTTTTTTACTTGGTCGCCCTCGTTTCACTACACATTACCTTTGTTATTTCAAGGGTAGTTGTTTCTGAAAAGGATAACCCCAACTTTGCGGACACCCTGTATATATATATATATAAATTAAAGCTTCCGCCTTTTGTTGGGTACTTCGACAATTATTTTAAGCAAGGAGGACTCTTTATACTTTTTTATTCTCTCTAGCTTTCAATGGACTTTGCCATCATCATCAGGAGCTGCAATTACATTGATAACAGTAGCAACAATAGTGTAAAATGAATTTAAATTAACTTAACTTACAGTAGTATGTGAGGATGTTGCTAATTGTTGTTTACGTTCAGGATGAGGGAAACACCCAGTAACATGGTGAAAGCTGGATAAATCGTACAATGGTCAAAATTATATAAAATACACACAACTGTGCGACAAGAACAAGTTTAAAAACAGATTAAAAATTTTTAGAACATTACATCGTGAAGCCACTTGATGATTGCACAAAATGGTGGGCATGGAATAATGAGTAAGATGTGAACCTTTTGACAGATGGCCGAATGTTATCAGTGTCTGTGTAGAATGATGGAACGAATTCGTTTGTGGGCGTGTGCTACGTTGCCAAGTCACTTCAGATGATGTGATTTTCAAAATGTGTTAGGTAAGAAATTGTCAAACCGACCAGAGGCAGTTGCAATTGACTATACTTTATTAATGGGCAATTAAATTAACAGTTATTATTTAATTGTGAGGAAAAAATTATTAAAATTTGAATGGAATGAAGTTTATTGGTCGAATAGCCCAAGAAACAGATTCCATTTATGGTTGTGAAGAGTCAAAATTTGGGGAGATGTGTAAGTGCTCCAATTTTTCGCAGTTTAGCAAATATGAGGTCTGGATGGTATTGTCGGAGAATTCAACAGCTATGAACCCTACATTCAATTTACCATTGAAAAAGAATATGAGAACCTGTCTGTCCCCTTTCTAGACACAAGACTCATCCGCACCAACAACAATAGTTTATTGGTAGACTGGTACCAGAAACCGATGGCTTCAGGCCGGTTTCTCAATTTTAGGTCATACTATAAGCTAGGGATTAAAATCAACTTGGTGAAACAGATGAAAACAAGGGTAATCAGCATCTCAGGTAATTCTTTCCACACTTCAAATTTACGTAGCAGCCACATTTTACACTATTGTTGCTACTGTTATCAATGTAATTGCAGCTCCTGATGATGATGGCAAAGTGCATTGAAAGCTAGAGGGAATAAAAAAAGTATAAAGATTCCTGCTTGCTTAAAATTTTTGTCGAAGTACCCAGCAAAAGGCGGAAGCTTTAATTTTTCACCTAACTGGTCTAGACGACAATGACCACGTCTCAATATATATATATATATATTGGTAACTTACTTGTTTCTTAGAGGATCTAACTTAAACATGCTGGTTTCATCCATCCAACCAAGACCAGCCAACCAGAGGCAGCTGTTTCGTGCTTTCTTGGTAACTGATCCGCATGGTTCAGACTTGAATGAAAAGTATGACAACTGTTGTTAATGTCTACAGGGTCTAACTTATGCTGAACATAATCCTTTATGAACTATTACGATGTGTTGATTCAACCCACTTGACGTCTTTTTTGTAGTCGAATTATATTGAACAAAACTACATACATATACTTAGAACCTTAAGTTTATTATGGTTTATACACGTGGAGTTGAATGCAGTCACAGTTTGGTTGTACACTGACAGAATGTTATAAAATAACATGTCATACTAAATGGGTCCCGATGTATACGATACCATCACAGTCTTCTACTTAATTTTTCGCTTGAGCTTTGTTGGATGTTTTTTTGTCACTCTTGGTTCCTCTGGCGAAGATGTTGTGCAGGCCACCATATCCGTAGCTGTTTCCAAAATCATGAACGCCGCTGACAGCACCTGATGTTGCCCATTCTCCGCCGATAAGTCCTGACGAGGTGCCAAAACCAGATTTAACGACAGCACCTGGAGCAAAAAGAAATCAGTGGTGGAAATGACCATACATCTTAGATAGATTGAGACATCTCGGTCCGTTATTACCATGTTGAATGCTCTACCAATCTAGAAGTTATGGAAAAATATAGTTTGGTAAGTCACAGTACAGGTGTTGCTACTTTACTTTCAACAGTTACCGTTACCGAAGTACTAGTCGGAAAACTCTTTACCTGAGTGGATTCCAGTACCAAACGCAGCAGTACTTCCCAGATCAGTCCTCAAGGCGCCAGTATTGAAAGTCTCACCGCCTACTGCTCCTGCAAAACCGGAAAACTCATTTCCTGAGTGGATTCCAGTGCCAAACGCAGCAGTACTTCCCAGATCAGTCCTCAAGGAGCCAGTGTTGAAAGTCTCGCCGCCTACTGCTCCTGCAAAACCGGATCCATATCCATACCCGGAAGAAAGGTGACCATCATGTGCGAAGCCGCTGCTGATCAAACCGGAGTCTACAATTCCGGTAGACACGGCTGGAGCAGAGACCACTCCGCCATGAATTGCGGACACACCGAAAGAGGTGCTCGGGTGGGTCGCGAAGGTTGCTCCGGAGGAAAGTACAGGTCCAGCAGAAATTTGGTGGTGGAGGTTCACGACTTCTGGGACCTGTTAAGAGTATATAGATTAAATTTAAATACGTAATAGAAATAAAATAGTGGAAAGGCGCAGGAATCGCCTGGAAGCGTAGGTCATATCCAACAATCATCTATGATCAAACAGGGATACGAGGTGCCGTACAGCTATTTAAATTAGCTGAAATTCGCGAATAACTCGTCAATGTCAAGATACCTGGTATGATACCCAAAGAAGGAAGTAATAGACGGAAGCCAATATGGTCTAGATTAGTCTTTCATAAAGAACAATAAGAGAAGAGGAAATGCTGGGATATTTGGATCGCCAAAATACAGCACAAACATCTAATCCTTTATAGAAAGAAATATTCCCAAATGGTACCAGATAAAAAATATACATAACTCATAGAAAAGGTCTGGACTATCATAGTATGTCCTACCATTTAGATAAATTGAGTAAAGGAATAGTAAATTGATTTGACGGTTAGAAAATAGGCGGTCTTGACTTACAGTCGTACATACATACATTCGAGGTGATAATTAGTATTTCGTTTTAGCTACTTCTGACAATACTGTCTCCAGCTAAAGAAAGCTTCAATGAATCATCACGAATTCGCTCATGTAAAACAAATATCAATTTCTCCACCAGCTTTAAACTTCAAACGTTTCGATGAATAATTACAGAGGCAGCGTCTTTCTCAAGAGATGATTTCATGAGCTTCGACATCTACTTATTGATTCTCTGAAACTTTTATGTGCAGTATTTTACATGCAATGTAGAACGGACAAAGTTGAAACACGGATGGCGTCGAACGTGATTTAACTAATTTCGTAGATAAAGTAAGCACAGAGAATTGGTTTATAGCCAGACCCGTACTTAAAGCCAATACTATTTTTTTATAGTTTTGGAAAGAAAGAGAAGAAATCATCTTTGGTCTGTGAGTGGAAATCTGACAATTTGAAATGCTAGAAGTTACTTTAGATCTTGATTATACATATCATCACACAGTACTTTCCAGTAAAACTTATATTTTGACGTTAAAATAACAAGTGTGAACCAAAAATTTATTTTGAATGTAAACAATACTTCCAAATACAGAACACGCCACTGAATATACACAAAAATAGAAACATTGCAATACAATAAAAGTAACCTGATGAAACAGATTTCTCGAGAGAAGTTCTCTAATGATTGACATTTCTGGCTAATTAATTTGACCAAGTTGTCTGATGACGGCGGACTTCTTATTTGAGGGCCCATCGTTGATTGTTTTTGTTCATGTATTGCTTTTAGGACTAATTAGCCGTCGCAAATATCTACATTCAATATAGTAGAGAGAAGCGGTCAGTCATAAAAGAACCCAGCATTTCAATGTTTATGTCGATGTGCATAAAACGTTAATAGTACAATGCTGTAAGGTTACGTAGGAATGCACATCTGAAGTCTGCAGAGACTTTTCATAGAGATCTTGACGTCCCTTACCCTAGGGACTATATTAATCAACAGGTGCGGCGAGGTTATACCTCAGCGGAATCACACAGCAACCATATATTGCCTAAGCTAGTGAACTACACAGTTAAGGAAGATTGCAAGCACATAAGACCGCGGCTCGCACTGAGGACAAAGTTAAATCGTGCAACTTTAGGTGTGTTTACACAACCAGTCTCTAAATTAATTTTTTGAGATTAAAATAAAATTTCGGAATGCTAGTTAACAATGCCATGACACTCCTTTAACTGACGCACTATCTTCTCTTTGTTCTTCCTTTTCCTATCAATCTTACTTCTCCCTTCTTCTCCCCTGACTTTTTTCGGTATTTGAGCAACCTGACTTGATAGATTTAACGACTTACGAAAGTCGCCTTCGATTTGCAGAGAATCTCAGATAAGCTCACCTCACTTCAGTTCACTCAGTTTATAACACGGTCGATTTACCAAATCTCAGTTTAAATGTAATGAGGTTCCTTTCTTAGATGAGTCAGACAATCCCCAACCTAACATAATTGGCCGGATTTTTTTAATTACACTCACCTTAACTACGACAGGCTCTGGAACATGTACGGGTACCGGCTTCGATACAGGAACAGGGTAGGGCTGAGATACTGGCACCTGAACTGCTTCTGGTACTCGTACGTATACTGGCTTTTCAACAGGTACTGCTACGGTCCTGGTGATGTGCACTGGGACAGGCCTTTCAACAGGAGTTGGTACCCTTACTTGGTAAGGCTGAGGTACTGGGTGAGGAACGTGGATTGGCACTGGGCGTTCTACCGGCGTTGGTACGTTGATGCGAACTTGGACTGGTACTGGCCTGTTTACTGGGACTGGGTATGGGTGTGGTACCTGTTTGGAAAAAAGTGTTTGAAGTAGGATAATTATACAGGGTGTGTCAGTTTGTTGTTGCATAACTTTAAGATTCGATAGAACATTTAAAATTAATGCATAAAGTTTATATAAACATGGGTCGAAAAATGCGTGGCTTCCGAAATACAGGGTATTTAAATTTACTTTCTAAAATAGTTTTTTTTTAAATATTTCGAACAATATTTGATGTATAACAGTGAAAATTGGTATACAAGGGTTTTTTGGTACGACAAAACGAACCGTGGGCATAGTTTTACTGTAGCCACTAGAGGGCGCTCTCTACTGTACCTGTAGTGTATTAAAATGACCGAAAAAATTTTTTTTAGTACAATTTTTTGCTTTTTGAATAAAAAAACTGATTCTTCGCACTTCTCTGCATAAAAATGCTCTCCTGTGAGTTTTTGTTATAGTTAGCCGTTTTTGAGATATTTCGATTTTTAAGGTTCGATGCATTTTTAATTATTTATGGGAAAATAATATTTTTTTACATTTTCGATTTGGGCATTACAAGTAATTAAGATGATCGTTTAGATTGTGTTTTTGAACACAGCAATAATTCCTAACTCCAAATAAACACAAAAAACAGAATATTAATTTGTTTAATTTTCCAATATTATTTTTAACAAATTAATTTAATTATTTACAACTAAAATGCTATTGGATAGTTAGGACAAACATACAAAATCTAAAGTAGTTGCTCGAAATGTAAACCCAATTGTTCAATACACAATTCATACCTACGAATGATCGAACGTGGTATAGCATTATTCAAATAAGGCCTTATTTGATCACATGCATTCCTGATTCTGTCTATTAGCATATCTCTTGTGGTTACGGGAGTCTGGTACACTTTTTCTTTTAGAAATCCCCACACAAAGGTGGATTAATTTTAAAAGTTCTATCGAATCTTAAAGTTATACAGCAATAAACTTAAACACCCTGTATAGGAACTGGTATGACTGAATAAGAAATGAATCTTGGATATATTTTGTGGACGAAAACATCAATCTTACCGTAGAGTTTCGATTAGAATTGGATTTGACCGAAATGTAGCCGTAGTAGGAAAATCTTGTGGAGTAGCTTTGGTAGCTTAGTACTCCACTAGATTATCCTCAAACTGCTTAATATTTTTTAACTATAAAAAGCGTTTTACCTGGACAGTCCTTTCAACTGGTACTGGTACTGCATGAGGTACTCCGACTTCAATTTTGTTGACGACGTCGTGGATGGTGTGACGAGCTACTTCTTGTGAATGTCGTCCAATGACACGAGCTTGGCCGACAGCAGCTGCAAACACCAAGAATTCAATGCTGGCATATACTCAGGACATCAATGCTGCATACAGTTTTTAGATTACATTACAACTGATATGATAAGTACCCCAGGAGCACTATGTTTAAGAAAACGCATCTAAAATTAGCTTGTATTGACTCAAGGCTATTGAGTGTATTCGATACTAGGACTTTTTCCTAACAGATTTCATTCCATATCTTTTTTTATACAGAAATCACCCGCCCCGAGAATCAGTGAGTATAATATTGCTCATAAAGCACTTATTAATTGAACCAAAACTTTTTATATTCAATAGTTTCGAAGCGACTGGATTGGAAGTTTGTATTGGCTCAGTCCTATTGAATATATTTTATATTTATCATGAATTTTTTTTAAACCCATTCTCCTTGAGTATCAGTGGATTTAAAATTGCTTATAAATCATTCATCAGTTGCACCAAATCTCTTTATATTTAATATTTTTGAAGATATTGGATAAAACAGGAGCTTTATGGAAATCTTTTTAGTTTTAATAGATTTTGCTGACATCCCGAAAATTGAATTTCCCAGGGGGAGATCATCGGCAAGAGGCAAACTCTTTGCGAAGTATACAGGGGTTAGGGAAATAATATTCGTAACTTTAAGAGGCGATTCCTTGCATTATTCTAAGAAAAAAGTTTTATTATAACTTATGTCCGAAAATCAATCGTTTTCGTTTCGAGTCGTAAATAATTAAATTTTCTCAAACATTTGCGAACGCTGCAACGCAACCGCGATACGAGCGCACGACGACCACAACTAATTTATCGAATTGTTTACGTTTGCATGATTTTTTTGTTTAAATATGCCTTGAATTATTGAATACTTTTACGCAATTTCTTGTGTCTAATATTTTTTATTTAATAAAGCTTTCAGTACAGTACATTTACTCTAAAAAAATGACAGAAATTGCCGGTACTTATTTGAAACGATGCCATGCACGAAAAAAGAAAAAAACCAACATCCGTGAATCACATAAAGTTATAGTTGAATGTAGTCACAACAACACGCGATGAAACATGCAGTGCAGGCGAAGTAGAGACGTTGCAAATTGTGTGAGGGATTTCGTTTGTCTATTTTCTTCGGAAAATTGTATTTAATAAGCAAGAAAATTATTTTGTTAGACACAGCTAATTAATAAATAGATCTATTGATACATTTTACGCTATTAGCCATATGAATTTAAATTATTAAGGTGCAAAATTAATTTTTTCATGACTAAAAAGAAATAAGTTCACATTTTTTTGCTCCAAAACGGTGATTTTCGGACATAAGTTGTAATGAAATTTTTGCTTAGAATAATGCAAGAAATCACCTCTTAAAGTTAAGAATATTATTTCCCTAACACCCGTATATCCCCCACTCACCACTGCGGTGCCCATGTTTGCGGTTCCGTATTATTACATTTTTTTTAAGTTTAGTACCCTGTAAAAGCGTAGACTAGCATGTCTACATATTTTCTCACTAAACATTAGTAAAGGTGCTGTGAGTAGCTTTGATACAGTTTTTCCCCTTATTTTTGAACATTTCTCAAAGTAAATAGTAGTAAATACGGCTTCTAATGGTGCTTTTGCAGGAATTTGTAAGTAGCTCATTGACTTGATTAGATTTCTAGTCTAATCTATTGAATTTGCTTTCCATATAAGACTTCAAGGAAGGCTCACCTCCATATCCGTATCCATATCCTAATCCTCCAGCATATAAGCTACCAGTGCCAATAGCACTACTTTTGTAGACACCACCATCTAGAGCAGCACCGCCATACACGCCACCCAAACCTAGACCAGCAGTTCCATATGTGCTGGCACCATGAAGCAGGCTGCTACTATCAATGAGGCTGCTGCCATGAAGCCCACTGCTGTAGCCCAGGGAGGTACCATGCAGGCCAGTGTAGCCTAAGGAGCTACCGGTGAGGCCGCTGTAGCCTAGCGAGCTACCGTGAAGGCCGCTGTAGCCAAGGGAGCCACCGTGGAGGCCGCTATAGCCCAAAGAGCTACCATGCAGACCATTCAATCCCAAACCGCCGCTGCCGTATAGCCCACTGTAGGCTAGATCGCTGTAGCCCAAACTGCGCTTAGGTTTCTCTTCTTTCTTGGTAGAGTCTTTTTGAGTGCTGGCAGCTGAGGTTAGGACAGCTGCTGCTGCCAGGAGCGCTACACACTGAAGAAAAAAAAATGGATTAAAATCTGTAAGCTCCCACTGAAATCTGAACTAAATTGTGAACTACATACACACTACGTAAACAAGTGGTGCACATTATTTCCATTATCCCCATGAAATGGAGGCGGAGTGAAAATATGGATTTTTTTTTGCTCTTCGAAACGACCATTGAGAATATTCATGGCATTTGGTTCAATCCAAATACCCCTCAATTTACAGAATATTTAAGTACAATATAAGAAATGCATTCATTAAATGATCCCAGGAAAGGATAGGAAGGAAAGCCAGACATTTTTCCATTCCCAACATATATGAAAGTGTACGTTTCGAAAATCCCAGAAATCACTTGGTCGATTATCATAAAATCTTGTCAATTACGAGTACCTGATCAGATACAAAGTCTGCCTTGACTACGTTGAAATTAGTGTTAGTGGCGATGTTAAATGTTACATGATATTTGAAACTTCCAAATAAAATGCCTTATTTATGGATAAATTGCATGTCAGGTTTATAGATTGAAAAAAATATATTTCCGAAAAAAAAAATGTTGATTTGACAGAGACCTGGTCTAATATAGAGATCTGATCATTTTAGACTGTACTAAGAAATGGCAGGTGCCAAGAAAACAAAGTATTCCGAAATACAAATTGAAGGACCTGTATTTCAGAAAGGAAGCATGGAGAGATATTGTGACATACGTTTGTGAGAATACTTTTTGTAAAATCAAATAAGGAGCAATTTTCATGAGTGTTCTTCTTGATGAATATGTCAAGTTTTCAAACTTACTTGTCAAAAGATATTCAGTTTGGGATAACAAATAAGTTACTCAAATGAAAAACGAATATGAACACCACCTCATATTTTTGTATTCGATTATAACCTTCCTACCAATGCAACGTGTTTTAGATATTAATTTTGCTTGATATGTGAGTGTTATGCTATATTGGGCACACATTTTCCATTTCCTACTATCGTTTATTCAGCGAATAGGTTCCATGAAAGACTTCATGTGCACTGAATTTAAAAATCAATTGAGAAACTGAAATGTTGTTCCTTCTGACGTACGTACTTTTGTATTATACAAATATGTACTAATGTATGGCTATCTTTTGTTCCTATTTTTATAACAACCGTGATACTCGTAATTTAGGATTGAGTGTCATCCACCGGCAATAATTTACTACTGAATATGTATAATATAAAGTGCATCCATCAATCACAGTTAACATTTATCATTGTTCTCATACTTCACGTCAATTACAAGTACTACTTCTACTTACCAAAACAGTCTTCATTTCAAGTGTTTGGCCAGTATAGCACCCGACGACGAATGATCCAATATTAGGAATTCTGCCTTTTATACATGTATCAAATTTTTGTGAAGGACGAGATATCAACCTGTTCTTTATGCGATCCGATCCACACAGGTTAGCAACTATAAACCGAAGCATAATTCATTCAGATAGTTAACGGACCAACTTTTTATGGAATTTTATTTTTGGGTAACTTAAGTCCTGCACGGAGGCTGGATGAACAATGGCAATTTCATGTATAGCATCAATTTTATTGTTAACGTTTTTAGGATAAATTGCAGCGTACATACTCGTATAAAAGCATGTCTTTACACTTACTGCAGTAAGTAGCGATAGGCCTGAGAGAGACATGGATCAACAAAAGAATTTGTTTGTTAACCTGTCCTTTGATATTTTTGTTACTGTGCGATTTAATTCTCGTAGTTGAATGTCATTTGTCGAGTGCTATAATGTAATGAGTTAAAATAGGATTGATATACAATAACAAAATTACTAAATATCTTTTCATCCGTCGGAGTACTCGGCAAGGATTAGATCAATGGAAATGAGTCGTAATAAATGTCAAAAAAACGAATAACTTCAAAATTGAATTATTTTTATCGCAGTAGATGCATAGTAAAACAAAAGTCAAAATACTAACGGGGTTTACAGTAGGGAAAGATGCACTAGGTGAGATCTTCTTGTTCGATGCCATTTATTACCTATAAGGGTAATCCATCGTTAGAAGAAAATCGAAATAACACGGGATACTGACATTGGGTTAGTTGACATGTTTTAGGGTACCTCCAGCTATTCCCGTATTTCCATCATAACTTACTAATTTTTTGATATATAAAAAAGAAATTGGTACATATTAAAGGTTGGGCCTTGATGGAAACAAACAAAAAAGGCTTGTTTCGTTGAAAAAATTCCCAGTTGTTCCAAGATAGCGTATTCGTTTTTGTTACATAAACAAGTTTGAGAATATTATAGGTTGCTGCTGAACCATTTCTTGATTTTTATTTTCTAGGCCACTAGGCGAAAAAGTATTGTAGTTGCAAGAAATGAGATCTTGAGTTTTTTGGATGTTATTGACATATACATTGAAAAAAAACATGTTCCTCATTTCCGTCTGTCTGTCTGTCGGTCTGTCTGCCTGTGAGTCTACCGGTTTGTCTGTCTGTTATAGAGCTTTTTCCCTTTCTGGAAGACTAATTTTCTACAAACTTTACACCACCGTATTCAAGGACTTCTCTTCCTTTTCCTGTTAACTTTCTCCCACTCCTAACGTGGTTACTCACATGATTCGGAACACATTTTCCAATAACAAGTATTTTCTAATGCTTCTTTGCTGCTGTAAGCGTACTCAAAATATCTGCTTCACGGGAACGCCAGAAACCACCACATTTTGAAATGGAGTCACCTAGACTGACTCGGTACTTCCGAAGAATTTTAAAGTTCGCCGGAAAATTATCAAGGAAACTCGCTACGAAAAGTTATGATAATTGAAATTAGACGTATGCGTTTTCGGTAATATAAAACATAGATAGTTCACACCAGCTTCCCACCACGTTTTATTTTTACACAGTTATAAACCAGGGAGGGTACCTTTAACTTTAGAAGACATTGTAACATCTAAGGATGAAGAAGTTACACTTTATAACTTTTTCATCGATCTCCAGGTGGTAAAATCAGTTTTTTGTGTATATTCGAATAGTTATGAATTATATTATGTCGGATACATTTAAAAAATTAAATTAAATCTAAATTATTAACCAAAACTTAAAGCAGTGGTGCAAACTAATTGCTACTGATTTTTTTGGGAGCTATCCAGCCACCTTGGATCAGTCTATTATAACATCTATATTTGCTTTATAAAAAATAAAATAATTCCACTGTCTATCACTCGTAATTAGAATGCTCATCACTGAAAAGCTGATAATGAGTACACACTTTGAGGGAAAAGGGAGCTGTTTTAGACCTTTGCGACCAAAATAACTTTTTTCTCAAAGAAATTACCGTAACGTTAGTCATTAACATTAAGAGTCACAACTGAGGCCACGTACAAAAGATGATGAGAAGGTTATTTAAACTGCCTGTTCTAAAGAATATCATTTCGCAAATGACGTCATGGTTTTCTGGAGTACCATGTTATGTTTGAATTTTTTTATGCAAGGCATCTTTTTCTGAGGTTTTATCCAACATTTGTATTATAATGTAAGTCTTGTTTGGAATCTGAAAATAGCACCCACAATTCTAGCGCCTCTGATGACGAGTAATTTTAATTTGTTTACAAGGAATAAACGTAATGGTATTCAATCTGTTGTCTATAGCGGTATAAGCAGAATTTTATTCTTTTGGACCTCAAATGTCCAAAAAAGTTGATTTTTTCGACCAAGTGTGTATTTTCTATCAGCTTTACAGAATTGAGCCTCATAACTCCGATTTGCTCTTGACAACGACTTGTTTATAAGGCAAACATTACTGTATCCTTGGCGACGCTTTTTTCCACCAACTTGATGTTACACAACAGCATGACTGCTTTAGGAATACGGCATTCAGTACGCAAATGCAGTGAATTTAACTTTCCATACCAATCCAGAATAGGTGAGTTTACGTGCTCTCACCGCAACCTACGTTAGATTTAGTTACACAGTGCACACATGGTGTCAAAGGTCCAATCCGAACCTATATACAACATTTTGGTGGACTTTTAGCTTAAAGTTTGTCTGAAATGTCTAGTTTTGCGTAATATCACATAATATGTACAACATCAGCTGGTAGAATTTTATCATTAGAACGTTATACCGAAAAAAGTAAATAGGGTGCATAACATTAATTTCCTTTTTATTTATATATTTCTATTTTTTCTGCAAAATAATATTAAATTCAGAGTACAACTTACAGGGCGTTGCACCTAAAATACGAGTAATTAAATAAGACTGTATCCGATGCTGAAATCTCGAGTTCCCAAAACATGTTTAGTGCAATTCTGAGCATTACTTTGTAAAATGTTGATGAAACCAAGTTGATAATCCTTGGAATTTTTTTTTGTGTCACATAAAATGCTAAAAATAAGATATTTGCATTAATAAAAATGTTTAACTAAAAGTTATTAGAGGCGCATTCATTCTATTTTGCTAAATAACTAGCACCATTCATGGTATATTTTGTATATAGTCAAAAAATCGAGTCCGGCCCTAAATTTTTTACCCGGTCGTCTAGTTTTACGTTACTTCTAAGTAACTCTGTTGTCGTGCAAAGTTTCATCAAAATCGGTTCAATGGTGCGCAAAATATGTGATATTGTAGGGTATATCCGTAACTAATTTAGACCATCTTGTTTTTAGATGTGAAATGGTCTTGGTCCATACTACCTACCATTTCACTATACTTAAGTGAAATTACGTCATTTCCGAGTTACCTGATTTTTCCAAATTGTAGGAAACATGATAGTAATATAGCTTTCGTTTGACCAACAAAAATTCCATTTTTAGAGTTCTAATCAGTTTAGAACGTATCCGAAATTTCTTTTAAAAAGTTTTAAAATTTTGATATCAGGCATGTTTCATATTTGACTAAGCACTCATAACGCTTATAATGCAGCTAGAGTTGAATAGATTTAGA